CCCCAAAACCCCAAAACCCCGAGTATTACAAATTAGGATATCAATTGTGAACATCTAAAATAAAAAAATTTTCTAAAATTTAGAATGAGTGAGTCTTAAATTGAACAATCTACATAGGAGAATACTCAATCGAAAAGACTCAAATTTCCTAAGAAAAACTTGAGTTCTTACATGCATTTCTTGCAAGAGGTAACTTTGACTAACACTGTAATTTATCTAGAAAAGAATAGAAGCTGGAGGAGGATTTCAATCTCCTGAAAAGATGAGGGAAATAGGTAAAATGTGGAATGATCTTCCCTCTGATCATAAAAAGGTCTATGAAGAGTAATCATAAAGGGATAAGGAAAGATACTGCCAAGAATTATAGAGTTATAATGAAAGTAGAGGTGGCTATGACTATGATTGCTAATCAAAAAGAGGCAAGAGGTTTAAATCAGTAGGGGGGAAAAGAAGAAAGAATTGTTCCAAATGAACTCTAAGTGCTTATAATATTTACATTAAAGAGGTAAGTTTTTAAATAATAAAGATACATCGATGAATATAGGAATTACTTAAGATCAGCCAAACTGAGAGAAAAGAGAATTTCCAAGATAATATGAGATAACTAGGACAGAAATGGCAGAGTATGACTGAAGAGGAAAAATAGAAATATAAGGATTAGAGTCAGTAATTAAAAGCTGCAAATCATTAGCAAGAATATATAGTGCCAGTTCCAGCTTATTAACCTTCTTATTAATATAAAAATAATTATCTCCAAAAAGAGGTTAAAAAGTTTGATCCTATTAAAACGAAAACATAAATAGTAGAACCCTAAAAATAAGAATAAAAGAAATTTAAATAAAGCGTTTATGATTTTATTATGAACTAAATCAACGAAAAAGAGATTAATGTCAATAAGAATTCTAATCCTGAGGATAAATAGTTATTAGATTATGGTAATTTGAATACCGATATCAATTAAAATATTGCAATTTTTTAAGAATTTGATGGACTAGATGCTA